AATATTGCCCCCCCCAGAATACGCGGGGCAGCCTGAGCACCCACGCTCAGAAGTGGAGAAACATGGTCGTGGATGCTCAGCGAGGGATTCTCCAGGGGTGCTGGTACCCTCCTGGGGTAGTCTATCATTTAATTCCGCTACCATGTTGATGGGGGGGGGGGGGATTTGGGCCTCCGGCCACCTGCACTCACCAGACGAAACGCGGAAGCAGAGCTTCCACTTCACGCCGGTATTCTGTGAGGTCGTGGTACCACCCCGGTTTGAGCCGGCCCATACGTGCGACAGCAAAGCTGCCGCGTGGCTCTAACACTGAGTAATATGTCTTGAGTCGTCGTGGAGGAAGTGGGGGAAGGGAAGGAGGGAGTTGCACTGAGGAGTATATAAATATTGTAGATGTGATGATAGTTGACGTGTGCGTGCTTCGAACGCAACTTAAATCGTATGTGTGACATTTTTAACGAAAGGAAATAATACGGTGTAATGAGTGAAAGAAGGAGAAGCCTAAACGATTGTTTTGTTTTCCAATTTATTTAGTAAAATATTTAATTTTGAAACAATTAAACAGCAATTAAAATAATTTAATCAAAATCACGTGCACCATACTTTACGCATTACAGGTATCAATTAATTTGTAACGACCTTGACCTAAAACCGCCGCCAGGTAAAAGTTTTCTAATTAGTAGCATTTATTGATAGATTAATTTGATTTTTTTTCTTATAATTGATGCTAACGCCTTTTTGACCACTATGCCAGTTTAAATTATTAAATTTCAATGTATTTAAAAAATAAAACATGTTTTTAAAATCGTTTCCTCACGGTAAAAAGTTACTCTAACCAACCACTTTTTTATGTGAGTTTGTATTGCAAACCACTTTTTAATTTTCTTTATTTTGCTTTACTGCGAGCACTCTGCCAATTATTGTAAGTCTTGGGAGTGACAACGTGGAAGTCACTTTCAATATTTTTTGAATTTAAATCTTCTTTAGGCACGTTGGGCACTTATAAAACAATGGGATGCGAAAAAGCACTGAACTCGCGTGATCGTCACGCTCAGATACATAAATTAGTGAAAGTAATGTTGAAACTCCAATTAATTAAATTTTACATGAATGAATGAATGAATGAATGAATGAATGAATGCATTTATTCTCTCTTCACAATAATTATTCTTAATGCTAAGTGTTTACAAAAGTGCCAGACAGGTACCTAACTTGTGAGAGACTGGTGCCTGATGTAGGTTTAAAAAACCTGTATTACAGGTCACCAGGGCTCCCCCGCGTATAAAGCAACAATCTGAGGAATACAAATCAGAAAGGAGATTATAATTAAGTAACTAAAATGAACTGCAGTAATTACAAATTTCACATCAATAAGTGTGTGTACTATGAAAAGTGTCGTTGTGCGTGTGAGCTAGTGCAGGCGCGTGCCTTTTTGTGTGTGCATTGTGTGTGTGTGTGTGTATGTGTGTGTGTGTGTGTGGTGTGTGTGTGTGTGTGTGTGTGTGTGTGTGTGTGTGTGTGTGTGTGTGTGTGTGTGTGTATTTGTGTGTGGGAATGTGTGTGTGAGTTAGTGTGTGTGAGTTAGTGTGTGTGAGTGATTGTGGACGTACCCGCTGTTGCGTGAGTTAGGACTAACATATAATTGCATTTAAACCCAAATAAGGAGAAGAAAGCGTGAAGACTTCGACGACATTAATATAATTATATGCGCGACTTTAGTAGGTTTTCGGTCGCTTCATAGTCTAAAGTTTTCAGATATTTTGTAAGAACGGATTTGCAGCTCGATTTAGGTAAGGGATAGAAGTTTAGGATATTGTTCAGTTTATTATACATGTATGGTCCTAGGAAACAGAAGAAATTGTGTGAGGTGGCAGAATGGAAGGATTGGGTTCGACAGACAGAACCTTTCCTGCGTTTGTCTTTTAGGAGCTCCGGATCGTATTTACATTGAGAGTGTTTCATTAGGACAGTTTGTACGATGAAAGACTGTCTCACTGTTAGAACGTCCCACTTTCTGTAGAGTTCCACTGTAGGAAAGCAGAACGGGAGACCTGCACTGACTTTTAGGATGGCCCGTTGGGCTCTTTCAACCTCAATTAGGTGGGTTTTAGCCGCACCACCCCATGAGCTGATGCAGTAATCTACAAGTGATTGGCACAGAGCGTGGTAGACCATCTTGATGATTCGGCAGTCTGCTACGTGTTTAAGAGATTTGAAGATGTAAATGAGCTTGCGTAACCTAGTGACAATTATCTCAATATGTGGCTTTGAAATTCAGAGTTTGGTCTATTATAATTCCGAGGTATTTGATTTTGTCTGTTCTTTGAACAGCGGGACAATTGCAAATAGTTGGCTCAGAGTTGCAAACATGGGCTGTGATGGAGAGGGAGTGAGGGGGACTTTAGTTCGACCTAAGTGTGAAGGTTATGTATTTTGTTTTATCAGTGTTTAGTGTCAACACATTCTTTTGTAACCAGAGGCAGCACTTAGTAAAACCTCTTTGTGCAAAATCAAAAACCTCCCTCCAACTATTACCACTGAAGAATAGTGCAGATTCGTCGGCAAATGAGAATATTTTTTCCATTGTGTAGCTGAAGCTGGCATAAATCGTTGACATATATCAAGAACAGCGTTGGGCTGAGTATGATACCTTGGGGCAGACCAAATTTGACAATTAACTCTTCACTTATCGCATTCTCTATTCCAACTCTCTGCTTTCTTCCACTCAGAAAGTTTGATATTAACTGCAGAGGTAAGCCTCTCACACCGATTTTTTCCAGCTTGGTTATGAGGTGTTGGATTGGGACTGTGTCAAATGCTTTCGCTAGATCGAGAAATATTGTTAGGCATTTTCTTCTTTCATCCAAATTGGTTATGACCGAGTTAACAAGCTCATGTACCGCATTATTTGTTGACTTGCCTTGCCGAAATCCGAATTGCGCTGGTGAAAGGAGATTATTTCCCTTCAGGAAATTGATTAAGCGCTTATTTATTAGGCGCTCCAAGATTTTAGACACTGTGGGTAAGATGGAGATTGGCCTGTAGTTATTGACACAGTCCCTCTCACCACTTTTGTAAATGGGTTTGATGAGCGCTGTTTTGAATGCTGAGGGAAAGATTCCCGTAGACAAAGACAGGTTGCATATATGTGTAATAGGGGGGGGTAAGGATGTGTATACATCTCTTGAGTATTATGCTAGAAATCTGGTCGAGCCCTACTGCACAGTTGTCTCTTAAACCCAGGATCAGCTGGAAAATTTCATCCTCATCCGTAGGTAGCATGACAAATGAATTGATGGGGGATGGATACAAGACGTCAGGTTTAGTAGATTTTCTGTGTCCAGAACGTAATATGATGTCTTCAGCTAGGTCCCGTCCAATATTAGCGAAGAAATAGTTGATGTCGTTTATACTTTTTTCCGGATTTTCGGGAGAGATAAGACAGGATGAGCGATCTACTACCCTATTGGAGCCGGTCAGATTCTTTATAGCTTCCCACAGCTTTTTTTTATTATATTTCGCCTTCTCAATCTCTTGTTTCTCATAATCTCTTTTCGCCTTTTTAAGAAGAGAGTTACAGTAATTCCGGTAGCGTTTGTAATTTAGTATGAGTGCTTCATTTTCAGGGTCCTTTTTTAATTTCTTGTAAAGGTTGTCCCTGTTTTTCATACACCGCATTAATCCTTTGGTGACCCATGGTTTCCTTATAAGTTTTCTTTTAGGTGTTTTAATCAAGGTGGTATTATCCCTTATGGATGTATTTAAATATTTCAGAAACAAATCTGTTGCTAGGTTTGCTTCCATGCAATAAAGAATTTTCTGACATTTAAATCTTTGCATAGTTTTGTCTAATTCCAAAAAGTTAATGCGATAGCATGACTTATTTAAGTATTCTGGGCGAGAAGGTTGAGTAAAGCTGACGGCTACACTTTCGTGGTCAGTAATCGATGACTCCAAAATGAAACAAGTAGCCACTAATTTAGTTTAAATTATAATGTGATCCAGGCATGTTCTACCACGAGTGGGCGTGGTGGTGACTCGCCAATACATTTAGGTAGTCATGTGAGCGCTTATCAGAGCTATCCGGGACACTATCTATATTTATGTCGCCACATAGAATTATGTTTTTATAGTTCTTAAGTTTAGACAGAAGGGAGTCAAGAGAATTTATGAAATTGCCGATATTAGTTTGGCTAGGTGGTCTATATATGCCAATAACACAGGTTTCGGTATTAAGCCTTAATAGTAGACAATTGGCATCGCTGATTTGGGGTTCTTCAAAAGATACCTTTAGGTGTTTATTATAATATATTGCCACTCCCTCGTTCTGGGTCTTATGGGTTGTTGTTGTTATATAATTGTAGTTGTCGAGATTGGGTATGAACTTGGCCGATGGTAACCAACATTCAGAAAGTACTAGTATATCCCAAAATACTTCGGATCTTTGTAGGTATGTAATAAAGTTAGGCATATTACGGTTAATACTACGGATATTTTGCGAAAGAAGGTTTAGTGTGCAATTATTGTTTTTAATGTGTTGTTTCATATCATCAATGTCGCATACGATTGCTTCAGCCACTTTTATCGTATCCAGATCTGAATTTAAAATTTCAATATTTTGCATATTTGTAAATGTCCAATATAATGAAATATGAAAGATGACAGTCACGGAAATTTACTCGTGACTGAAGAATTATACATTTCATGCGTGGTTTTTGATCTGTTAGGATATTTGTGGTTGACCAGGGAGTAATGCGATATGTTTTTATAGTTAGAGTAATTCTGTTATTCGACGATATAGTTCGTTTGTGTAACGTGCATTGAGTATAGAGTGTTATTAGTGTATGTTGTGTGAGTAGTGACTTAGAGTGTGAATATCTGAAAATCTTCTGTGAGTAAAAATGTATAAGTAAAGGAGTTGAACATGCATATAAAATAACAAGTAAAAATAAAAACTAATAAAAAATTAAATGACAAAACAAAACAATGATCGCTGTAACCTAGCGTGGCTTAAATTTTTGTAAATCGTTTTCTTCTTCAATACGAATTGGCGCTGCTCCCTCCTCCTTTTTCACGTAGACCTTCCCATGCGTTGTCCAGGCTGCAACCAGCTTTCTGTTTTTGACATTTTCGCGTGCGAGGTAGAATAATCTTCTTACTTTACTTGTTAAATACTCAGATATATATATGGGGCGTGATGGACCTGGTAGATTAATGTGATTCGAATTTAATTGCGGCTCCCTACCTTCGCGTTTTGCTTTATTATATATTTTGTATTTTGATATAATGGATTCTTCCCGAAGGGACGTGGTGAAGTCTACCACCAGTGTCTCAGATCTGAAGCGATAAATGTTTCTGATTTCCGATTCCTGAATTGAGGTTTCCAGGCCCAATGTCGAGCCAAGTTTCTGGATTATATGAGTCAGCGCTTCTTTATTTTCATTACTTTGTTTGAATAAGTTGCGGATTTCAATAGTTGTAGTACTCGCATTTCTTTCTAAGTGATTTAATTTATGTTCCAAGACGCACACTCGCTTCTTATAATCGTTATTTTCTTGTTCCAGGATATTAATTTTCTGTAGTAATTCTTCATGCCGATTAGTAAACATTTCGAGCGATTTGTGTAAGTCTTGGTTTTGTGTCATTATAGCAGTTAGAGTGTTATTCAACAATTCAAACTTATGATCTAGTTGTTCTTTAAGTTCAGAAAACATATTTTTTATTTCGGATATAGATGACCTCGATTGATCTTTTAAGTCATCAAAAGTTTCTGTCGCTTGGTGATGCTATAGCTATGAATATTTTCATCTATGTTGGCAATCTCTTTAAGGGTCGGATCTGAACTATAGTGCATTTTAGTGCTTGGTGGAGCTAACCCACCGGGCGGAGAGCGTTGCACCGACATCGTATTTAATTGCAAGTGTTTAGGCCTAAATGTTCCGACGGCCGGCGATCGATGCAAGAGGCGAGTCTTTGCGTACACGCACACTAGGCGGGAAGAAAAGGGTGTGGCCTTGGGCACGTCTTTGGAGGGTGTAAGCGTGAGATTGGTGTTTCGTAACACGTTCAGTTAGTGCAAAGACTCACGGCAATATGTTTGTCTTCGTCACAGGCAAGTTCCTCTTGCTTGCGCGGTGCAGTCATACACCTCCTTGATTTTATGCACTCCTATTATTTCACTACACTTTTATGAAATTATATACTATAATATTTTTACGAAAATGAGTATAACGAGAGGCACGTCTGCACACTGCGGTGTCTACGCGGGGGGGGATAAATGCTATGTATTTATACATTTGTTCGTATTATATAGATAATAATATAGCGCAATAAATGAAAATTTTATTACTATATTAATACGTTGATAAAATTAAAATAATAAAAGTACTTCTTAAAAATATTACTTTACAATCTAAAAATAATGTGCACAAGCTTGTGAAGCCAACAAGTTTTCACATCGGACGTGCAGTCCTAACACTGAAACTTTTAGTTTTAATTACAAGCATATAACAAATGAACTTACAGTCCAGCTGATGGTGAGGGGTTGCCATCAGCCAGCAGCGCGTGCGCCATGTTCCGGTGTGATGAGTACAAGTACATACTGCGAGACATTCCATCAGGCCTCAGAGCTGACAACGCGTCTGTAATCTTCTCTGGTTGAACTTAGTTTTTGTATCAGTATAATTACATACTGCGAGACATTCCATCAGGCCTCAGAGCTGACAAAGCGTCTATAGCCTTCTCTGGTTGAACTTAGTTTTTGTATCAGTATAATTACATACTGCGAGACATTCCATCAGGCCTCAGAGCTGACAACGCGCCTGTAGCCTTCTCTGGTTGAACTTAGTTTTTTGTATCAGTATAATTACATACTGCGAGACATTCCATCAGGCCTCAGAGCTGACAACGCGCCTGTAGCCTTCTTTGGTTGAACTTAGTTTTTGTATCAGTATAATTACATACTGCGAGACATTCCATCAGGCCTCAGAGCTGACAACGTGCCTGTAGCCTTCTTTGGTTGAACTTAGTTTTTGTATCAGTATAATTACATACTGCGAGACATTCCATCAGCCCTCAGAGCTGACAACGCGTCTGTAATCTTCTCTGGTTGAACTTAGTTTTTGTATCAGTATAATTACATACTGCGAGACATTCCATCAGCCCTCAGAGCTGACAACGTGTCTGTAATCTTCTCCGGTTGAACTTAGTTTTTGTATCAGTATAATTACATACTGCGAGACATTCCATCAGCCCTCAGAGCTGACAACCCGTCTGTAATCTTCTCTGGTTGAACTTAGTTTTTGTATCAGTATAATTACATACTGCGAGACATTCCATCAGGCCTCAGAGCTGACAACGCGCCTGTAGCCTTCTCTGGTTGAACTTAGTTTTTGTATCAGTTGTAATGTGTCATCTACTTCGCGTGCGGAGACAAGTGGGTACGCATGATAGCTCGCGCGGCTTGCCAGTGACCTGAGTGACCGTGAAGGCACAACTCGCCTAAATGCATTTCTGTAAATGCATTTTTTTTAATCATCCCAAACACATGTGTTATGCAAATTATATCTAATTGCTTCTAATTAGTTTGATAATTATTGAAATATTTATTTTCTTCCCCTTATATTGGGTAAGTGTGAGCAAATTTATAATATAGTACAATAATTACATTAGTTTGATTTTTAAAGAAATATATAAACAATACATACTTAGTATGTAAATTAAATTTGTCATATGCTATTTATTTTGTCATGTAATTTTTATGTCTTTTCATTGTACTTAGCTAGATATAACTTTAATTTTTTGCCTCTTTTGCGATTAGCATGTACCGCCGTACCAAAATTATTAGTTTGACTCTCCCAGTTAATTCTAGCGGTGGACGTATATGTTTTCGACCTTGGTTGCAAGGTAAATTAAGGATTTTGACTGTGTGTTCCAGGGAACTTTGCTGGAGCTGTGAATCCATGTTATTATTTTCCCAAATATTAAGGATGGGAGGTTATAATTAAATATATGAAATAAATTCATACGAATTAAACTCGCACGAGTGGAATCGGTTGTAAAAGGACACTTATCCCCTACCACTCCCGCCGGACTCGCCGCCAGACGTGTCAGGGAAGTACTCACTTTTCCTTCTGATCCTGAAAGGCGTCGAACCCGCGACCTTCTAATTTTATTTTAATTCTTTCATATATATCGATTTAGTATTAGTATAGTTTTAGTAGTTTTGTATTTTAGTATAGTTTTTTTAGTATGTATATTAGTATAGTTTATTACTAAAATCATTAAACGCCTTAAAACAATTTTGATGTCATTATTTATTTGTTAAACAAATAAGAATAACGTGACATTTGGCGCCTCAACTCGGTTATTCAGGATCAGTCATTTTAGTTTGTGTGTACGTTTATATTGTAAACCCATGTTTTTTATAACTTTTACTTTGCTCTTTATGCTTTTGCAACTGTAGTAAATATAGTGTTATATAAAGTAAAAAGTTTCATAATTGTATCGAATTGTCTTTTTTTTCCTTTTGTTTTGTCTATTATGTTGTTTATATACAAGCATAACACTATATTACTATATTTTGGTTTTATAATTATATATTTATAGTAGTAAGTTTTATTTAAACACAAGTATACTACAGTTGCACTTTTTAGTTGCATTTTTTTCTCTTTTTAATTGCTTTTGTCGTAGTTTATTTTTCGAACATCTATCATTGATTACTAAACATAGAAAACTTAGAAGATTATTATGATATAAACTGTAACGGTACGGAAGAATACCTATTATTTATTATTTATACAAATAAGTTTTGTTATTTGTAGAATTTTATACTTGCTCACATAAACCTAGTATAAGGATTCTCTTCGACTTCTGAAATTATGTCATACGAAATTCAATTTTTGTCCTTACAAAATAAAAACGAACTAAGCTAAGAGGTGGCCATTAGAGGTGGCACACCTGGGGAAAACGTTCAAGAATTACGCTGGCAGATAGTCAAGTTAGCCAATGCGATGCCTTCAGATGATATTATTGAATCTGGGTTTGAGTTTTCTATAGACGTAGAGGGTATAAGAGAAACTTTTGTTAAAGTTGAAACAAACTTAAAAACATTATCAGTGAAGTATGATAAAAATTTACACAAACGTACTCAAAATTTACTGAATCATTTATATCATAGGATCCAGCGTCTGGATGCTGTAGATAAAAAGTCTACAGATATTTTAGAAAGCCTCAGGCTTAAGCTAAATACAAATTTCAAAAACTTAGAACATCTTAAGCCTGATACGGATTCCTTGTCTGAATTTACAGATGCTATTACAATTACACCGCCCCGTATGGTCGTTACGTGTGATCGAGCTTATTCTTCGGACTTAACTAGTATTAAGTTTGATGGAAAATCATGCGTCCTATCATTTATCCAACGTATAAACGATTATATAACAGCCTGTGGTATTCCCTCTTCTAAAATTATAGATTTTGGATCAGAAATTTTCGTTGATGATGCCTTACACTGGTTTCGGAGTGTAAAACCACATGTTGGATGTTTTTGTTATTCCCGATCATGATTATCGATTATTGGACGAGATAAAATCTCGCACACAAGGCGAAACTGAGAATATTACTATTTACCTAGCTATTATGACCGGCATGTTTTCCCGTTTATTTAAAAAACCTTCTGAGGAAGATCAGTTAGAAATTATTATGCACAATATCAAACCTTATTATGCTAGCGCCTTAGTTGCAGTGCCTAACCTTAAATCTATTGATGTGTTACGTACAGTTTGTAAAAATTATGAGAATGTACAGTCCCGTCTTTCTAAATATCATGAACCTACTAAAATAACTTCAACTACATTAGCACCCAAATTTGCATTTAAGCCACTCACAAACTCGACAGAGAAAAATAAAATGTACTATTCTACCACAAACAAATTTAATTATAATAAAACTTATACAACCGATAATAAACCTTCAAGTAACATTTATAGAAAATATTTTTCCAATTCTAATCTATTTAATAATACTAATCCGCAAAGGCAACAAAAATTTTATGGTAATAATAAACCTATAGATGCTATTCAAAATGACGATAGTAAACAAAAGTTTTGCCCTCGGTGTCGTGTTGATACACACAACTTAAGACAATGCACTGAGAAACGCAAAGTATTTTGTTTCAAATGTGGTCGTGATGACTACACATTTTACACTTGTCCAGATTGCACAAGTCTTCCGTCTAGTTCAAAAAAACTAATAAAGCAGAATTGTAGCGACCTCGCCAACCACTCTTATAATACAGATTGGAAATAGTGGTTGAAATTTATAAATTTTTTTTAATAGCTACACCGTTGCTACAGTTCTATATAATAAACCACCTAACGACGTCCGACCTTATTTATCAATCAAAATAGGACATATAAAGTTTTGGGGGGTTATTAGATTCTGGCTCAGCCGTTACCTTGTTAGGTAATAATGCACATCGTTTACTGATACATCAAGGATTTGCTATGCACACTGATGAAATAATCTCTATAACAGCAGCTGGTGGACAAAAACTAAATTGCTTAGCTTATATTATTCTCCCATTTAATTTTGAAAACAATTATTATACGTTGAAGACTTTTGTAGTTCCTGAAATAGAGACCTC